TTGCACCATGCGCCCTGGCCTACCAAATCGAAAACTTTGCGCGCCGTACAAAGCTCGTCGCAGGCCGCTGCCATCCTGATCATCGGTGGATGAAGAGCATGTTCTACAACCAACATCAGGGGCGCATGCTGGGATCCTGCAAAGGGGGCAATCAAAAAGAGATACCCATTGGCCCCTCGATTAGTGGCTTCAATTGGCGGGATGACTGTATAAAGCAGGCTGTCCTCCAGTCTTGCGCTGGCCATGAGACTACTAACTTGCAGTGACCATGGAGTGTCTAGGGACAGGCCCCAGGCAAATGAGTCACCTCTTGCTTGACGATGATGACGAAAGATCCATCCAAGTAGTGAACATGGGTCGACCACAAGCCCTTGCTCCTGCAATTGCGCCTTAACTAAATCGAAATGCCTGGTATGCCAGGCCTGTTGTAACTCCAATTTCTGGAGCCGCACTGGTGTGACCCATGCTAACCTTTGACTAGCACTATACTGAAGGTTTTGCAACGAATTGGATGATCTACCATCGTCAATCCTCCAGCGTACAAAGTGCTGCATGCCCGAAAAAACATCAGATTCTCTTGCAACCTGCCTGTCAGAGCTCATGCTGAATGGGTCTACGACATTGTCTTCATCATCCTCTTCAGCCATGACACCATGGGAATCACAAAGACTGACAAGATCAGGACCCATTGCAGTCTGTCCAGCCTCGATCTCGTTTGTATCATCAACAGTTTCCGGATCAACAATACAATGATTATTGGGCAGAGCTCTTTCAACCCTGAAAAATCGGAGCACTGTGCCATCAGGAAGATCTAACGGATCATACCAGTACCACGTATTGAGAAAACTATCTATGATCCAACACTCTTCCCTTGTTTCACATTGGTTGTCCGGGAGGGCTTTCGCAAATGCAGTCTGTACATTCGACTCTTCCCATTGGGGGCAGACTAGCATGGTAGCGAATGCAGTCCTCCCTTCAGGTTGCATATGCACCAGATAAAGATTGCAAACATCTTCACTAGGCCTAGCAATATACCAATCAGCAGTGCTAGCCCCATATGGCAACACCGGTTTCAACAACATACTTCGACCACCTAGCTGTTGCCGAAAAGCATAGCTGGCTTGGCATATCATGCAATCCTCTCTTCTCTTATGCAACGACTTGAACTCTCTGCGAATACTTGACAGGTGCTCTCGATCATGCCACCACACTCTGTAGCACCACTGATGCTGGAGCCGAGTAGCAGCCGTGAGGCTTAGAGCAAGTATATTTTGCCTACTATGACTACACGGGGCACCCTGTTGGACCAGTGACACATCCTCAACTTCGCTGTCGCAGACTTCACCATCCCCCTGCTCAGGCATGGCAGCCGGCGTAATATCTATGGCAAATTTCATGCCTTCTTGGACAAACCAGGATTGACGCCGACACGGTTGTGAGTCATGACTAATCTCGCAATGCACTGCATGGTGGGAGCGCACAACATCCACCCCCACCATTGGCAGCAATTGCTCACATTGCAACAACCTTGGGACTTCCAATGGTATTCTTTCAACATGATGCCCATCTTCCAACATGGTCCAAACAACCACCAGGATAGGCATGAGACAAGATTCCTGCTCTTGAATGCCGACCATGTACAAGGTATCGAGATTGTCTGCCTCTCTAGGCGTGACCTGTGGGAACACACGGGCCGCCGTGAACTCCTGTTCAACATCGACAGCATCCCACAGTTGAAACCTCATGTGGCTGACAAAGGTCGGAAAGTCATAGGCGCCCCAGGAACACATCAGCGACCATGATTGCTCAAGACCGGTAGAGACATGCCCTAGTGTGAAAATCACATAGTCAGCCCCCTTTCGACACATGGCGTTGAACTCTCTTCTCATTTCACCAAAACCCAAAACATTTGTGTTCCTAGAAACAAACTCTTGGAAAGCAGCCCAATGAACTTCTTCCCCAGCTTGTGCCGGGAGATCACGGCTCCAAACTTGATGACGCAGCAAATCACGAGAGAAGCGCCTTCCTGAGGAGACTGCGAATCTTTGCATCATATTGACGATGTCTGAACCATCCACGTTCTGCCCGCCAATATCCGAGGTTGCAGTGTTATCCTCGCTTGGTGCATGGAGCGCTACATCCCTCTGAGCGTTATGCCCTCCCTGCTCACATTGCTGGTCTCTCTTGACCATCACAAAATCCAGGAAGGAAAACTCAGGAACACGCAACTGGCCATCAAAGTGGAAGATAGCCTGCGGCCCCCATTACGCAAGGAGAAGAGGACCACCACTTGTTTGGCTGCGTCCATTAACTCGTCAAGTTGCAACAAAGCACCAATCTGCTTCACCGTGAAAGTGCGAGGGCACATCGCTGCCTTTCGAGAGACGAAGGTCCTCCCTGTGCGCGGCAAAGCTTCACTGGTGGCCCATATGTCAATCAGATGAGCCATGTGATCATCTGGCATCCTGTGGTTTTCAAAGGCCAATAGATGCACCTGTATGGGTTCCATACTCGAGACCCTCGGTGGTTGTGGAACCACCGCTGCCACTCGCGGCACACGGAAATCATCATTGACTCGCCAGTATTGTCTGAAGTTCCTGGCCCAATTGCCCTCAGCCATGAGCAAACGATCGCAGACTACAGGCAGAGCTGGGTGTATACGCCACACTGCCAGCATGACAATCTCCTCATCCACAGGGCCTTGGTTCATGTCTCGAATCCACCTCTGGAGCATGTCTCTTTTGACAAAGTTTGGTATAGCAAAATTGGCTACATCATAAATGGACTGCTTGTGCTGTACTGCCTGCTCAACACGAGCCCATCGGATTGCAGCTGTTTGCTCCTGCGTGAGCTGCATAAAACTCATGCTGTCTCCCGAGTGCTCGAGGGACGACGTTGCTGTGGCAAGGGTTGCCGTGTTATCCCTTAGCGATCCAGCCAAAGCAACAACACAATGCCCTTCTCTAGGCTCACCAGTACTGGCGCATCCGATTGCATCCTTTTGCTCCTGCATAGACTGCGCAAGACTTGCATTGCCCTTGAGAACATCGTAAAACTGCCGCTCAGGAACATTGAGGGTTGCAGTGTTATCCCCCAGCTGCATCAAACTTGCACTGTCATCAGGGAAACCACCAAGGAACCCTACCTCAGGAGCGAGGGTTGCAGTGTTATCCCTCAAACTCGATCCAGCCCAAGTACCACCCCCATGTTGCTCGCGAGGCGCAGTGATTACACTGTCACAAGTACTGGAGGATCCGGAAGGACTCCGTGGTGTTGCGACTTCATCAATGAAGACACGGAAAAAATTGCCATGTCGAATTAAGTCCCTGGCCATAATACCACTTACTGCTATCCTGTGCCACCCAGCATTCTATTCCATTCGCGCAGTAGTGACCTGGCTGAGTTTTGTCAAAGAGAGTGGCAACATCGCAGTCATTCTATCCTTTGCGGAACAAAACGGTACCAAGCTTTTTGATCGTTCCGACTTGCTGGATGAGCACTACTGCCCCTTCGAAAGCACCTCTAGTCGTAAGAACAAAATGCCTTCCACGAATGCCTGAGTTATGCACAGTCGCTAAGTCATATGAGGACGAGCCTAACTCCTGACTGAACATCTGAACGATCAGAAAAGCAGGACATCTCATTTGCTTTATGCACACAAACTTTGAAAAGCTTCTATATCCATGTGCATGCAAATGGTGGTGAAACCATACTCTGACCGCCAAATCGGAGCTCATCCAAGGAGCTCGATAGGGATACCTGGATGTTTCTGCGTAATTGACGCATCATCATTTTCTTTCTCAGTACGAAACCACTGGCCACTTTCAATTCTATGATTGGAAGGAAAGTGTTGCTTGCAGTGGTCCCTACAAAGAGAGACTCCTAGTGCGTGCTGCAACTGAGCAAGTGGCATCCGTTGGGGGACAACATGGGCATTGAGAACTTCATCACCTACTAAGATAACCGCGTTCTCTTCTCTTCTGTCCAGCAGCAATAATGAACACGTTGTCATAGATGGCTGCGGGATCACAGGCATCAAAAGTGATTGTCAAACCTGACTCCTGCCTCTTGCAATCTCGATACAGCCCAGGTCATGTCCGGTTCAACGAGCGCATCTGCACTGGCCACAAATGACACTCTGTCCTGTGCCGCAAAGATCTGGACTGGAACATCGCCAACAGTTATTGGCTGCCTTTGCGCTACAACTTGTGCCCAGGTGGCACGATGTAACAAATCGACTCCACTGTCAGCTGATGTCGCATTCCGAGCACTCCTCAATGGAACCTCATCAATTTGGTGCCCACTGGCACCGCTCAGACCCGAGGCGTCAACTGTGAGTAAGTAGGTGAAGAAGACCACTCTCCAAACAAAGTTGTGCGCCTGTATCGGGAGCCTGGCTTGCCTACGTGCATTGCCAACCCAGACCAACTTCTTGGCACGTCGACTGTGGCGACCGGTCCGAACTTGGTCAAGCATCCTGCGTAACAAGCCGATGCCTAACAAGAGAAACGTCACAACATCAAGGCAAAGTTTGCCCCAAATGAGGTGTTTCTGCGTGACGTTGATGACATCTGGAGTGCTGACCGACTGACGCTCCTTCTTTAGCTCAAACCAAGTCGGGATTTCCATAAATGGACCCCCCAACGCAGCTGCAGAAGGACATGAAACCTTGCTTCCACTGCCTAACAACTCATGGACAGTAGAAAGACTTCCGAAGTGATGCATGCCCCGATACCACTCTACCTGACCAAGGTCGTGAGCATAGAGGCTTATAGCGATTTTACTAACTGCCTGCAACATGAAAGCGGGCACATCCTGGTCCAGCCTGTACAAATGCAAACAACCAAGACGATCACTTCCAAAAAAACAGTATTGGCACTCAAACGACAAGCGGCCCTGCCCAAAGCGAAACTCATCGCAACAGAGTGCATTGATCTCACCAACTACCCAAGTGTCTGCCTTAAATGGCGCCATCTTGAGGAGATGCGAGCTTGAGACAACTACTTCTTGGGTCCCTTGCTTTTGGGGGGCCCCTCTTCTTTCTCTGCCTCTTTCCCTGTTTCCTCGATTTTGCGTTTCGGTGACGTGGTATTCGGCTTGAATCGACCGAACGGCTTCAAATTGAGGGTGAAAGCATCTTGCCCTGCAGTGTCCTGCATGGCTTCCACATCGACAAACTCGGGATCTCCATCGGTCGCAGCTTGCAACGTTGCTTGTAGATCTGCATCGTCGATGTCGTCCTCCAAAGAAAGAGCGCCCGCTTCTGCAGTACGAGATTTGAGATCTCTCTCTCTGCTTCTTGCAATTTTTGGACTCTCTGCTGATACACCTGCACTGCCTCTACTCGCTGTGCAAGATAAGAGTCCTTCTGCTCTTTGATTCTTTGCGTCACCATCTGCTGAAAGCTCTTCCACGCAGTATCTAGATCCATCAGCTTCTGCTTTGCCTTTTCCATTTGCTTTTTGGCATTTAGCAAACGATATAGGTGTGCAGCGCTCAAAGCTTGATCTTCTGATACTGCTGGCTTGCCAGCATCCTTTCTCACTGAGGAATCTAGGCTTTCCAGAGCTGCTAATACCTCTTCTGCCGGATTGTCCCCCAGTGCTGATCGGATGGTTTCCAACTGTGCCATGACCTTGGTGTTGTCCTTCACTGCATACGAATCTGCTTCTGCAGCGGTGGGCACGTCGAGCTGTGATTCTTTTTGCAGGAGTAGTGTTTTGCCATGGCACCTCCTCTTCTTTGGCCTCTTTGCCTCCCTTGATGCCGAAAGGCCTGAGAGGATCGTAGTTGGCGTCCTCTTTTCCTTTGTCTTGTCGGTTCCTGGATCTGGCGCGTTTCTTGCGCTCCTCCGACTTGGCACGTTTCCCCTTTTGATCCCAAACTTCTTCCCACCATCCACGGCGCAACTTGCAGGTCAGTGCCCTTTCGGAATTGGCGACTTGGCAATAGTAGCAGGTCCACATTGATGCCATCAGTCTGCACTTCAACAGCCGGTTCGGAGCCGATCCGTGGTGAGCCGCTAGTAACAAGTAGTCTCTGGTCGCTTGTGCGAGAGAGACCTTCTTGTTGGCTTTCTTCCAGCGTCGCCGAACTCTCTGCCGAGTCTTCCGAAGATGTCGATGCCAGGGCGGCTCTCTTGGCAGAGCCGTGGATGTCCAGTACGGGAATAAGGAGAAAAACGCACAAAAGGCGCGCACCCATGAACGCACGGCGCGCTAAGGTCCGTAGCTAACGGGAGAGGGAATGGGCTTTTCCCCCGCCCGCGCAGAGCCAAACCTTGCGATGGCCTCCAACCTAATAGACAACCAGACTTGAACTGAGTCTCAAAGACTGAAGGCGCTATGCTTCAAAGAAAGCTGAACGAAGTGCTGGTGAATTCTCGCGAGCCAGTTTCCGAGTTCGGGGGATGATCGAAGCGATTCGCGGACTCAAGAAGCTGCTTGACTTTGCCACCGCCTTCTTCCTACACCGTTTTTTTGCACCTGTTTGTGTGAGCCACCTGCTTCTTGAAGGTCTCGCAGACCAGGCGGAGGCACCTCTGAGGACCTCTGTCCGCAGAAGAAAGAGATGAAGGAAGGTCTTTGGGCCCCTTTCGCAGTGATTCCAAGGACGCTACTAGGGGCTCCTGGCATCGCTACTAGGAGCAAGGACGCTACTAGGGGCTCCTGGCATCGCTACTAGGAGCAAGTAGCTTTTCGGAACAAGAATTGGAATTAGAATCATGTTAAAATAGAAGGAATTATAGTGAATACAGTGGCCCTTACTTGCATGGTTTCTCTGTTCAGCTTCATCGTCAAAGGATCTGCAACAACAGCTGAATGCAGCCTACATGTATTCCAAAGAGTCCCGCGCTGTCTTGCGGCCTTGTTTTGCATATCCTCACTGAGTCCATATTTTGTTGCGGCCTTTTGTCAGTTGGAAACCTGGAGGTCCCAGAATCAGTGCCCCGATGTTAGAAAGTTCAGACATGGTGTGATGCTAGTGAGCTTATGCCTATGCAGGTTTCTTTGTGTGAGTTGCTTATGCCTATGCAAGTTTCTTTTACTTCATCGTAACATTTGTTTGAACTCAAGCCAGGTCACTGCCTTTCCACTGAAACCATCTAATGAAGGTTCCCTAAATCTCTGTAGGAACGAAATTGACCATGCAAGCGGTCTTCAACAAAGCTCACACATTCAGGTCTTTTGAAGCTTCCAATGCCCAACCAGGGGCATAGCCAGAGGCTTTCTGACAATGCTGATGATGCCAAAAAGTACGCTTAGCCGCTTAGCGCTTTTAGTACTACCAATCCTGGACGAAGGAGCAAACAACAAATAATCTAACAAACCTGTTTCAAAGAAACAACACGAGGCGAGGTGGTATTTGAGTGCTGTAGTGGGACTAGGCATAGCCTGCAACCTAAGAGAGATTGCCCTCCAACCTACTACTTGTAGGGATGGCCTCCAACCTAAGAGCGATGGCCTCCAACCCAAGAGAGATGGCCTCCAACCTACTAGGGATGGCCTCCATCCTAAGAGCAAAGGCCTCCAACCTAAGAGCGATGGCCTCCAACCTAAGAGCGATGGCCTCCAACCCAAGAGCGATGGGCTCCAACCTACTAGGGATGGCCTCCAACCAGAGCGATGGGCTCCAACCTGCTAGGGATGGGCTCCAACCTAAGAGCGATGGCCTCCAACCTACTAGGGATGGCCTCCATCCTAAAGTGATGGCCTCCAACCTAAGAGCGACGGCCTCCAACCTACTACGGATGGCCTCCATCCTCAGAGCGATGGCCTCCAACCTAAGAGCGATGGCCTCCGACCTACTGGGGATGGCCTCCATCCTAAAAGTGATGGCCTCCAACCTAAGAGCGATGGCCTCCAACCTACTACGGATGGCCTCCAACCTAAGAGCGATGGCCTCCAACCTACTAGGGATGGCCTCCATCCTCAGAGCGATGGCCTCCAACCTAAGAGCGATGGCCTCCAACCTAAGAGCGATGGCCTCCATCCTAAGAGCGATGGCCTCCAACCTAAGAGCGATGGCCTCCAACCTACTAGGGATGGCCTCCGACCTAAGAGTGATGGCCTCCAACCCACTAGGGATGGCCTCCATCCTCAGAGCGATGGCCTCCATCCTAAGAGCGATGGCCTCCATCCTAAGAGCGATGGCCTCCAACCTAAGAGCGATGGCCTCCATCCTAAGAGCGATGGCCTCCATCTAAGAGCGATGGCCTCCAACCTACTAGGGATGGCCTCCAACCTAAG